GAGAGAGAGCGAGCGCGAGAGAGAGAGAGCGAGCGCGAGAGAGAGAGAGCGAGCGCGAGAGAGAGAGAGCGAGCGCGAGAGAGAGAGAGCGAGCGCGAGAGAGAGAGAGCGAGCGCGAGAGAGAGAGAGAGAGCGCGAGAGAGAGAGAGCGAGCGCGCGCGAGAGAGAGAGAGCGCGAGAGAGAGCGAGCGAGCGCGAGAGAGAGAGCGAGCGAGCGCGAGAGAGAGAGCGAGCGCGCGAGAGAGAGAGCGCGAGAGAGAGAGAGCGCGAGCGCGAGAGAGAGAGCGAGAGAGAGCGAGCGAGCGCGAGAGAGAGCGAGCGAGCGCGAGAGAGAGCGAGCGAGCGCGAGAGAGAGCGAGCGAGCGCGAGAGAGAGCGAGCGAGCGCGAGAGAGAGCGAGCGAGCGCGAGAGAGAGCGAGCGAGCGCGAGAGAGAGCGAGCGAGCGAGAGAGCGCGAGAGAGAGCGAGCGAGCGCGAGAGAGAGTGAGCGAGCGCGAGAGAGAGCGAGAGAGAGCGAGCGAGCGCGAGAGAGAGCGAGAGAGAGCGAGCGAGCGAGAGAGAGCGAGCGAGAGCGAGCGCGAGAGAGAGCGAGAGAGAGAGCGAGCGCGAGAGAGAGCGAGAGAGAGCGAGCGCGAGAGATCTCAACAGCAGATAAAGCAACTTGGAGTCCCTAAGGAAAAATGTGCTATAGAAATATAAATTACATTAAAAAAAATACTCCCATACTGAGCTGCTTACACAAGTTGTGGTAAATGGAAGCATAGGGTGCTGCAATAATTTAGCTTGATTTCTGTATTTTGTTTGAGATTCCTCTATAATGCAAAAGAAAATGGCTTATTAGATACAATTTCCTTTAAATATTTTTATTAGGCATTTGGCACCTTGGCACTGTTAAAGAACATGAACAGAGGAATTTCTTTAACATCACTGTGATGGATGCCTGACTGCTAGACAGGCTGTAAACTGTAAGCAAAGATATAGAACATCGTTTGTCGGGTATAATCCATCTCTAGGATCTTTATAATATTGCAGCATAACAAATAACATACATTATATACATTGTATGCAGTCTCTCACTTAAGCAATACAGTATATCATATATTTGTACCAGGAGAGGAATTAGGACAGACCTGTACATTGCTTATAGGGGCTGCTATTTCCTACTGCCAGACTTTTACCCTCGCTAAAAATAACATGAGACATCCACTACTCGAGACTTGGCCACGTCCCAGTTATGGACTGCACGCAAATAGATCAGGATGAGAGCAATGTCCAACATCACTGCTCTTTGCGCGGCCTCACTGAATAAGCCCAAACAGTAATTTTAATTACACCTTTGATTTATGGAAGCAAAACATAAAAAAATAAAAATTAACTGCAACAAAATATTTTTTTCTTAATGTATAAAAGAAATATTAAAAAACAGCTGGACTGATTTACCCATTCTACTATCAAAGTTACAACACCCAAGCTTACTGAGAGGCACAGGGAAGTGTTTTATGGAGTCTAAGTCCATGTAAGCCTAACTGGAATGTGCGATACAATAAAAACGTTGCTTAACCTTCAAAATGTCCACTGTTTAATGGTTCTTTAAAGAACACTCGTTCACAGCACATTGGTAGTAGCCAAAGTACACTGGAACAATATTCAGTTCACTTAGCCACCTTCACTAAGGGGGCACCATCTAATGTTCATGAAGCAAGACCCATAAACAGTGAGGCATGAGGAGGACATCTGGAAAACTTTTTCAATATCACACTGCAAAGACATTTAATACTGAGCTCCGAATCATAACAAGCAAATCAGAAATCATCTATCACAGAGCTAATTGCAATAGACTGAAATCCAATTGGCTGGTATGTGTTACTGCACTTTGCACATCATTACTGCTCGTCACATTGCCTTGATGAGCAAGTCAAATAATTTAGCAAATGTGGCCAGTTTACAGTTACATATTAAAAATAAAATATAAATCCTAGGGCACATTTTTCCTATTACTCCCCTCCGGTAAACATTGGTCTCCGCACAGCCTTAATATTTTTCTGGATTTCTTAACTGTAATCCATGCATTGAAATGCAAAATTTTGGCACATCTTTGCATTTTTGGCACCATTGACTTTTACAGCTAAGGCATTGGGCTTCAGCTTTAACATATGAAGATCAAGGACTATGCCCTCTTGGGCAGATATGCAGCATACAGGTTTGTTTTTTTTGTTTTGTTTTTTCTTTTATATTGTACAATGTTTACCAGATCCCACATCTACATACTTCCAGAAAACACATGGTTCTAAAGATTGAAACATCAAGTCTGAGGAAGCTTTGATAGGTTGTACGAAAGTCTGTCAAACAGTTCATGAGCAAGAAGAAAATGAACATTTGCTGTGGAGGAATTGAAAGCTCATCTTTGATACAAATATGAGATTCAGTGCTGAGGTCTTTTCTGGCATTTGGCCATTCACTCCACATCATTTGGTACTGAGAGACATTCATTCTGAGAATCAGACCAAGAAGTTAACATTGACATGTATCATCACTCACAGCTTAGACAATGAAAACAAGGCCTGGTGATACAGATGTCTCTCATGCTCTGAGCTTGGCTGGGAGGCAAAGACCTTCACTTGTTTATTATTGAACCGGTTTCCATGTGTGTTTTGGGATATTTCTTGTAGGCAATGTTAAGGAAGTCTTCGACTGCATCAAGACATATCAGCCGGTCCTAAGAAAATCAAATAGTATGCATTGTTACCCAACGGGAAAATATAGTCCAACACTATCATTCTAACTGATTTCAAACTATAAATACGACTGCTTACCATTTTTGGAATACCAAAGATGTCACCAGCACACCAAAGTTTCATCAAAAGTCCATTTAATGACAAATTGCCATTCAATTACAAGTGCTTTCGGGGCTTCAAGGGTTCCCCTTCATTAGACTCAGAAGGCTCATCCCAGCGCACTAGTGAGCACTAATCCCAGTAAACCAGAATATAAGTGAACAAAATAAACATAAAATGTGCCGCGCTCTTAACTCAACTACCCTGTTTCCCCGAAAATAAGACCTAGTACTATTTAACAGACTATCATTATCTATTTAAATACACACTGTGCTTTGGGGTTTGTCTGTTTGAATGTTCATATTAGGATACATTGTGTGAAGCACTTGACGTTTGCTAAAAGTAACATAATTGCATAGCAGATGATACATTTGTATATTGAATTGGATTAGGTTTCTAGTTGATGTGTTTGCAGATATCATGTGACCAATGCCTCAGTTTATAGTCATGTGACTGGACATTCTAGGATCAATAAGTAGCAGTTTTTGCATTAACGGTATCAATATCATACCTTTTGCTACTTTTTATGACCTAAAAGAGCAGCATAAGCAGTGTATGTGTGGGGAGGGGGTTGACAATTAAAGACAAGTAATCTTGAATAAAATACACATACCATAATATAGAGGTATCTCTCTGGCAAGTCCCATCCAGCTGGAAAGATGGTCGTCTCATCCACAAGTCGCAAAAGCATGTCCATGGCCTTTTTCATGTTCTTTGGACCA